AGCGAAGTTATGATAAGGGGTTTTATCGCGATATGTAATCATTTGAAGAAATATTAAGGCGACATTCAGATTCTTTGCTCTAGCTATAGATAGTAGATTGCATGAGCTATCACATCGAACGCAGATTTTGCAATATTAAAGACAGTTTGAACAAAATATCAAACTATAGCGAAGCATCCAATTAATACTTCAATACTTGTTGCTTGAATTTTTTGCAGACAATGAAAAAGCATTTTCGAACAATATATCGAAATAAGAGATATAACAATTATTATTATTATTATTATTATATATATAGGATACTTAAGATACGATCTAAGACTTACGTAAGTGAGTTTAGATGACTGACTAGGTGTTGAAATGAAACAGATATGACAAATTTTATTTTATTCAGTGCTTAGTTTCGAGCCAACTAATCCAAATTCTATATGGAACTAGTACACACTGTTCTCTGGACACTGATTTGTATAATTAAAATAAGAATACACAAACAACACCCGACAGCGTAGAGCACATTTTACAAGAAACACAAAACCATCACACCACGTCAGAATTCGCCGGGCGACTGCGGCGAACTACAACGCGATCGGAGTTATTCGACAAACTTCGCGCACTTTCGAATCGTACAGCAAACTTCGCGCTTTTCCGTATATATCATGCATCATACGCGCGTAATTGGCCAATACGTTCGCGGTTAATTTAAATGTAATTAATTTAAATATAATTTTACAAACGCAATCTCATTCGTTTTAATATCATATCTAGGATTAGTTAAAACAATATATACGAGTTAAAAAATTTCATATATTCTTTTTAATAGAGAATAAAGACTGTCTGTGGAATAATTTTGCAGATTCCACAAAATTGAAGAAAACTTTTGTTCAATTTTACTGCTGCAAAAGAGATTGTATAACAAAATTGTTTCGTGTTAAAGAAGATCGTTGTTGACTAATGCTGACTAATGGTAATTGAATATATGTATTACTATATGTATGTACTATATGTATGTACATATTACTATATGTATGTACATATTCACGTATGTATAAAGTTAAGTTAATTCTAATTTTCCCATTTTTTGGAGAAACTGTTTAAGTGGAATAGAATTTTCTTAATGAAATTATATTATACAAATACAAAATAGAACAATATCTTTGATAACCTTGAATATCTCCATTATTTTTAAAGATATGAGAAAACTTCGTTAACAAAAATTGTTTAGTAATCGATAGTCCGACAATTTCGATATTACATTGACATCATGGCAAATGGACATCATTTCGAAAATTTATTACAACAAATATTGCAACGAGATTTGCTTGCTCTTTCATTTATGATCGGCCAAATGATTTTCAAAAGTAAATTATTGAAATTATCTAAATGAGCTGTAGTACCAGAAATCTTAGTAAATAATTTAAAAACGACCTTGAGATCTCTGAAACTTCACCAAAGAAGATTATTACTATCATATTATGGTCTCCTCCATACTAAACAACTTTTGTTAACTGAACAACTTTTTCATATTTCCAAAAACAACGAAAATATTCAAAATGATCAGAGATATTGCCTCATCCTATACACGTATAATGCATATTTTTTAATCAAGCAATTACTGCATTATTTAAAAAATATGCAGATTAATTTGAGATGAAATTTTAGTTTGAAATTGCAAAATTTATTATAATTTTAAATTACGGCAAAAATTTCTTTCTTACTGTAGTAAAAATAGAAATTAAGAATCAAAAAAAATATAGTCAACAAATTCTTTCTCAGTCAACAAATAGAAAAAAAAGAAAGTATAGTAAATAAATATGATATCACGTCTCGTCGAGTGATTCACATATGTATGAATATATATATATTTGCATATATTTTTATCGCTGACAACAACATTGTGACACTGTTTCTTCTACATAATAATAAGATTCTATCGTTAATAATAAAAAAAATAAAAAGGAAATCTTGTAAAAAAGAAGCTCTTTGCAGTTTACGTAACAACAGTAGCGTAAAATTTCAAAATCTTCCATCTTTTCTTAGATAATTGTCCAAATCTTCAAGAAAATATATTTTATTCAAACAATATAAATATAATATACATCTCGGGCAAATATAAATATACATCTCAAACAAAATTCTTTGTTCTATCGTGATTTAAAATTTAAAGTTTAAAGCATTATCTTTATTTTACACTCTATCTCGATTAAATTCTCCATCAATCGAATCAACGTGATAAGATACATGTTATCGAGAAACAGTTTGCTTTGGCGTAATGGCTCAACTGCAGATAAATAATAGCAATAAGATACTTCTTTACAGTGAAATCATCTATTAAAAAGCAGCGCTTGTAAAACTTTTATAAGTTGTAAAACGCTTACATAACTTTTATAACATTCTATATTACAGTCAATCAAATATAATCTTATTCTTAATTCGACAGTGATGCAAATATTTCTCATTGTCGATTTGATAATAATGCAAATATTAAATAACGGATACTTTTTTAGTCTCGTAAGATAGAACCGTGAATTCAGACTTTATTACAGTATAATCCATGCATTGTACGTGTGAATAATGAAGATGCCTTTCAAGCCATCCAACCAAATAAAACCGACGATTGAAAATAATTATCAAATGATCCCGATGCGGAATGATATAGAAAGTTCATTGTACAGGAACCTTTTATCATCTAACAGACTAATCGACCTAATAACGTGACTCAAATAACCAATTGATACTCGTAATGTTATGACAGTAGTTTTACATTTTATAGACAAAAGCATTGTTGTATTTTTTTATATTCCTCTTTTTTTCTTTTTAATTAATAACTAGATTGCTAAAGAGCGTCTTGATATATTTTCTATCTCTTTGGCATAGATATATGACGAATGTTTTTTAATGCATCCTCGTTGAAATCGAATTACAATGTGTCGTGATCCATCTTAATAGAACAATTCGCGATGCGACCTATTTACATTGTCTTGGCTCAAGTGTACACAGCTGCACTAAATTGCAATTTCTATTGTTATTTACATTTCGAACGATTCTGTAAAAATAATCGTAGGAAATAAAAGAAATAAGATAATACTGAAACTTCGAAAAGATACTGTCATATTTTATTTATATAGTGATTGTTATTTTTATAATGAAAAATAGAATTATTCATTATAAGTTTTAAAATTTTCGAGGAATTCGATATTAATTGATCGTTAGTTTAATTCAATTATTATGCATTTCTATGTTACTTTTTACCTATAATTAAAATACATCATAATTTCAAAAATATAATAAATAATCAAGACACTTATAGAAAAAAAATTCTGAATTTTTCAAATGAAATTTTAAGATTGTCTTCTTTAATAACGGAAGCTTCGAAAGAAACGGAGAATATTCTAGTAAGTGTAATAGAATGCTTCTTTACTTTTATACTCGTTGTTGCTTAAACTTCTTAATTTAATTTCTTTCATTGACTATTTCGACAGTGATAAATTATTAATTATTCAGATAGAAAATCTCTAAATAATTCTGAAAATTATAGAAACTAATATCGTTCTACAAAAACTTTCTTTTTAAAGGATTTACTTCTTTTGCGTAATTGTATCATAATTAAATAATTACATCATATAACATGATCCAATAAAAATACCAACACTTGGAGAAATTTTAATAGATGCGTCGATATTTTAATAGAAACACGATGATATGAGTCGCAGTGGAGAAGTAATTGTTACGTAACACCGGTAGAAATTGACACTCGACTCATTCGTGCATGCACGAATACGTGACTGTGTTGACGTATGCGCGACTGGCTATGCAAATTTAACTGCAGGAAGATCCATTTGTTAAACGTTCCAAAGGCCTTGCACTAACCTACGCAAATTTTTTAAGTTCTGCAGTATCTAGAGAAAAGGCAACTTGCACATTTTCTAATTTTCAATTAAGATGATAAATATATTATGTAGAATATAATTTCACTTATTTCTCTGATTTCAAGTCTTCTCCTATATGGAAACTTGAAATAATGAAACTTTCCTGAAAATAATTACATTGAAGTTTAAAATTAAGTATAAAAGTTACCTGTAGATGCCACTGTAGTTCAATACCGTGTAGGTACGATGATCGATAAATAATAAAGTCACCGTGCTACAAAGGAAAATTTTATAATTTATTTTAACGTTTACATGATACAGAATTTATAATGGATGAATTACGACTGGCGACTGACGACTGTTTATTAATTTCTTATTTACTATTATATATATTCTCGGCAATTTGTTTGTAACATGGTAACCAATAATTTATTTATTGTATTTCCATGGTAACTTTCTATAAGACTGAACTTTTTATAAGATTGAATAGATGTCGCTACAATCGAACTTCAATACTAAAACTATCGACAGTTAAGACGAAACTATTTCTACCAAAATGACTGGTCTTTAAAAAATACGCAATAATAGAATATTTTTATATTTATTGATTTATTACTTTCTTACAAAAGAAATTCCATGTTATGTAGTACAGTTAATACCAAATTTGTCAAATTTATTCGGCAAATATTGAATAAATCTGCATCTGGTTTTAGATGGAAAGAGCTGTTTGTCAATTGTAATATTTGCATCTAGTTTGTAGCAACTTTGACTATTTTGAATAAACTTATTCCATGCAGCTGATATCAAAGCAAATTCACTTTGTAAACATTGACTTCGTCACTTTTTTTTATCAAAGCGAATAAATCTCGATATTTCGATAAAATCATTTCATGGTATTGGAAAAGAAGTTTGGTTCCCATTTTCTGTTCCATAAATATGAAAATTCCAAATTTTTTGTTTCGTTGCTCCCTGTGCATACAAAATTCCAAATTTTTTATCCGAAACTCGAGAAGCTTCTAATTCCGTGCAAGATATTATATGTTCAAGCATATATATATATATATATATCATATATAGTCGTCAATCAGTAAAGAAAATGCGCAATTTTCCTGATAATTATTACTATCATATTGAATGACAGCAGTAAATTCTAAAAACATGTAAGAAGTTGTACGAAACTGATTAATACAGTTTCTAATAATTCTATTTCTAATAAATAAAAATAAAATAAAATTCATTATATTATTTCTTTAATTATCACTGCAAAAGTCATTACGTCATTGCGGGAAAAAAATGTAATAAGAAATTTTAAAATAAAATTGTAAAACCAGTCATTTTGACTAATGTGGTAGTTCGAGTGTTAATTAAGAAACTGCTAAAACATTTGTTAACATAGGAAAGACATATATACGGAAAAGAAAAATTTAGAAGATTTCAATCAATACTTAATGCTGGAGTCAATTACTTTATGTTAATTTAATAGTTAATGAAATTGGAACAATCTTTAAGAGTCTCTCAATTACTTTTCAATCTCAAAGTTTCAATTATTGAGTTCCAAACAAAAAATAATATTTTATCAATCTGCTGAATTCGACTTATTTTCGCCGTGTTGTTATTAGATTTTATGTAAAATTTATAACAAAACTTCATTCTTTATTAGGATCTTTCACAAAATTATAGCAGATGACTTTTTCTCTACAATTTTATTGTTTTTGCTTTTTATAATTTTTGAATATTATTGAATGAATCAGTGTGATCAACGTAATGAATCTAAAAGAAATTTTAAATGTTACTCTCAAATGCATCTAATTTCAAATGTTAACCTCACATGATCTTGACACATGAGATCCTGAGTCTAATATTTTTACAATATTGTTTTAGTAATTTTGCAAAGATGGAGAAGTGGATACACGAAAATTTATCCGAAATTTTTGATTTTCCAGTATCAATAGAATTTGCAAAGTAAGAAAATTACATCAAAATGAAAGGATATTTCCTTGATGTGATTTAAATAATAATAATATTCCTTGATGATATTCCCTGATGATGATAATATCATATAATGTATTTGTTTCAGAATCATAATGAAAATGGAAAACGAAAGAGACTTGGATGACTATTTGCTATCTCTTTTAGATTATACTAATGGAAAACATAGGCAGTTTATTTCAGAATTGAAAAAACGACAAGGTTTATATTTTTTTTTGTTTGTATTAATTATTAAGCTATTTAATGTTTTTCATTTTGAAATGTTTCAGCTTTAAGTAAAGATCAAAGTAAATATAAAAAAGAAAATGATGTAGATAATGGAAAAAAAAAGCAAAATGAGAAAAAAAAAGGAAAAGTAAAAGGAAAAGAGAGCAAAGAAAATAAACAGGTATATATCGACATAATGCTTGAATTTTTTATTTCAAGTTTATAATATTGTATTAAGTTAGATGTTATTTATTTAGACGCAAGAAGTTATAAAAATAGATAAGTTAGAAAAAAAGAAACCTAAGTTTGTTAATATATCTTCTGAAAATGGCATTTTGTTAAAAGGTACTGTATTAAAAGACTATGAACTATTAAAAAATTAATATTAAAACTAATATAAAAATATTTTATTAGGTAGATATAAATGTAATTGCGAAACAAAAGAACATCCACTAATTAATAATTGTCTCAGCTGTGGTAGAATAGTCTGTGCTCAAGAAGGAGCTGGTCCTTGCTTTTTTTGTAAAGAACTTGTATGTTCTCAGGAAGAACAAACCATTCTTTCTAGTAATACTAAACAAGCTGATCTGTTATACAATAAATTAATAAATCAAAAAACTAATAAGAATCTGGAAGAATCAATAAAACAGAGAGATAAACTTTTGGAATATGATCACAATGGGTATGCATTATATATGTGTTCTTATATAATATTCTTATATCAAAATAAAATATTAATAATTATACTAATTTAAAATAAGTATAATTACTATTAATTTACAGAATACAATGCACAAAAGTAATTGATGATGAATGTGACTATTATCAATCAAATAGTACATGGTTAACAGATAAACAACGAGAAAAGTCAAAGAAGTTAGAAGAAGAAATACATGAAAGAAAGCATATGTCTCGTTTAAATAGAAAAATCTATGCTACTATTGATTTCACAGGTAGAGAAGTAATTGAAGAAAATGCAACGGAAAATTTTGAGAAATTCAGTGAAGAATATTTGCAAGATGTATCTGAATCATTTAGTGAAATAGAAAGTAATATTTGTCCACATATAGAATTTAATCGCCCAATGGTATAAATATTATTAATAAATTATTAAGCATATTCATACTATTCATACTATTATTATATGTAAAGAACATAATATCAAATTTTTATTAATAGTATATAGAATCAAATGAATTGCAACCACGAACAAAAGAGATCATTTCTTTTAACACAAGAAATATTATTCAAGATAAAGAATATTTAGAAATGTCTGATCCTGGTTTATGTTTGAGTATGCATCAACCTTATGCATCTTTATTAGTAGCTGGAATAAAAGTGTAAGATTATAATTTTTTAAATAGTTTAATATTTAGTATACTATTTTTTAACATATTACCATTATAGTCACGAAGGTCGTACATGGTATTCATCACATAGAGGAAGATTATGGATTGCTGCAACATCAAAAATACCAACTAAGGAAGATATTTCAAATATAGAACAGTGTTATCGTGTTTTAAAAAATGGTTAGTATAAATTGAATCTATGATTAAAAAAATAAAAAAATTACTTTCTTTTAATTAATCATATTACAATATATATCATGCTTATTTATCATGAATAACATTAATATTTTGCAGAAAAACTAATGTTTCCAGAAATTTATTCAACTGGTTGCTTATTAGGATGTGTAACTGTTGTTGATGTTTTAACACAAGAAGAATATAAAAAATCTTATCCAGATGGAGAAAGTGATAGTCCTTATGTTTTCATATGTGAAAATTTTTTTACATTGCCAATTAAATTTCCAATACAAGGAAAACATAAAATTTGTAAATATTTTTTCAGTTTTAATTATTATGTACTTTTTGTTACAACTAATTTTTATAATTTTTATTGTGATTTACAGATAAATTAGACCCAAAGATTCACCATGCTGCTTTGAAGATGTTAGATAAGTGTACGAAAAATATACTTTAAACATGTTTATATAAAATAGTACGTTTTTGTCATAAATAAATAACCAATATTTATATCTCTTTTAATATTAAACTTTTATACATAAATAATATAAATATTACATACCTTTAACATTTTAGTGCTAAAAAATAAAATACATATAATCTATATAATATACATATTATCTATATTAAATATTATTTATTATTTGTACATAATAGAATATATTACAATGTATGCATAGCTTGCAATATTTTACAATACTATTATCAGACATACATATATCTTTTATATATTAATCGTTTACTTATTTCTTTTATATTTCATTCAATGAAAAAATATTAGTTATTTTCTCTTATTTCCCGTTAAAGAAATATCAGACTTTCATAAATGTTAAAAGTAGACTTCAGTAGTCATTTTTACATTCAAACAGTCTATATATTTGAAGTAGAAAGAGAATATTTTTTTATCGAAATATAATACAAAGTTTGTCCTATTATAAATTTTAGAATTTATACTGAAAAATATTTTGAAGATAATAATATTTCTCATTAGTTTACAAATTCCGATAAATTGTTTATAACTAAAAATAAGAAAATTATAAATTAATATTAAAACTTTTAAAATATAACATTATCTTATGCAATAATTATTTTTATCTTTGCTTTTTATGTGTATATCATAATTGTATCTGTAATAAATTTAACAAATTTTGAAAACTTTATGAACTAATTTAATGTTAAATAAAACTACAATATTACATGCAATGAAGGAGCATTCAATTTATCATATATTAATTGATTTATGAAAATTATAATATGTATGAATTAAAATAAACTTGTAATGCTTTAAATAAGGGAAACAAATAAAGTTTCTCCCAAAGATGTATATTTCACGAATAATATTAGTGAACTGGGAATGTATAAATAAATATCAAACTAGGAGAAATAAATTTTAGTATAAAAATTAACAATTGCACAATATAATTTTTAAATTAAAGTATGTAATTAACAGCAATTGAAGTATTAACAAGATACATAGAGTCAAATTATATGTTTATTAATCTGCATATTGTTCAATCTATTAATTATTATTTAATTTGCACTTGTTTTCTAAAGGTACACAAGTATTATAATTCTACATTATCCAATTAAAAAAAAGTAAGTTAAACAAAAGAACATGTAACTGATAACTTTTTTTTCATACACATTTGTAATGTTTATTTGCAACGCTATCATTATGAAATGAAAAAGTTAGTAATACTTTTCTTAAAGTATTTCACAATAAAAAGAAACTTTTATAATTACATTTAACAATATTCTTATCTTTGTTATATGAAATTAAATAAAAATTAATAAAGAAAAAACAATGAATTATATGTGTATATATATATGTGTGT